CTCATTTCTATTCTATGAATTTTCTTACGTTACCTCACACTTTGTATCCCTCCTTTATATCCACCCATCCACTTTATATTTCACTCACTGTTTCTCGATCTTTCCTCGCTTTCCCTTTCACTTCTCATCGCATCCGATTTGAATAACATTTCTAGGCGCGCAATTTTCCATGTTCGTGTTATAAAAAAAAGGGGGGGGAGGAGAGGAAAAACGGAATCTCGACTCGTATCGATCGAATCGGAGTCGATTCCCTTTTCCAAAACGAAACCGAGCCATCGAATCCTCGACGTAGACGTATAATATTCATTCTCGGTCGATTTGTCCCTAAATGGATCACGAGGAGAAAGAAAAAAAAAAAAAAAAAGAAAAGAAGGACTTATCTCTCGATCAGGGTTGGTTCGCCGATCAAGCGTACCAGGAATAGCAATATCGGTGGTTCAATGATGGAACAAAGGCTCGTAAAAAACGAACGAGAAAACGAGCTCGAGAGTGGCTGAGGAGAGACAGAGAGAGAGAGAGAGAGAGAGAGGATGGAAGAATCGAGACGCGTGAAACCGCAAAAGAGGCGAGATACCGATGGGACTAATTTTGGTGATTCTTTTAAAATTGCTGTTAAACCTTACCTTTCATGGATATAAAATGAAAGAGAACTTTTTCTTTCTGGGTTAATCTAACGCTTCTCTCCCTCTTCTTTTTTAAACATTTACGTTCTCTCTGGAATTGTTCTGTAATTACAATCGAGTGGGGGAAAGGGAGGGGAGGGATAACGAACGCCAAATATTGGAAACTTTCGAGTGCAAATGTTTAAAATACGTAAAAAGAAAAGAAAAAAAACTAATCTCCCCAGTTTGTTTTCCATGGAAGAATCTTCTTTTATTTATCGATCTCTATCAACCCGTTTCCTCCTCCATTGCGAGCGTGTCATTCCCATCGCTGGAACGAAAGAGAGACAGAGAGAGAGAGAGATAGTGATCGTGGACGAAAAAAAAGAAAGGAAGAAAGAAAGAAAAAAAAGAAAGAAGGAAAGAAACTGGAAGAAGAACTGTGTTGGGGAGGATGGGAATGTCGATAAAAAGCGAACGATGTGGGTGTGGAAGGTAGGAGAGAGAAAAAGAAAAGAAAGAAAGAAAGAAAGAAAGAAAAAAGGAGAGAAAAGGAACGCGGTGCAAAATAATGGGCGATGAGAAATAAAAGAAAGCGAAAGAGAGAAGTAGCGAGAGGGAATGATATATAAAAATACATAAAACGAGAAGAAAGGGAGAAATGGGGGAGGGGAACGGGTGACAGGGACGCGACCGACCGACAACACCACGCGCAATAGGGCAAAAGTTAAAGAGAGCTGGCCGATTCCGCAATCGCTTGGCCGGCTTCCAATTTCACGACTCGCCCTTTTTACTGGGCGAACGCGCTGCGACGCGGCGGCAAAACATTGCAACGTGGATACCAGGCTGGCCAACACACGGATCCTCTCGAACAGGAAGGAGGGAAAGAGAGAGACAAAGAGAGAGAGGCTGGGGATATCACCACGAAATATACCGGTTCTCCGCGTATTCTCCGTTTCGCTTCGTTCCGTTGATCCTGCCTGAAGATAGCCGAAGCGGAATCAATAACTCGTGGAAGATAAGCGCGTTCGGTGTCGGTAAAACTGGCCGATAAACCATCATTTCTATCGATCTCGACCGATCCCTCATCGATCGATTTCCTTTTTTTTCTTTTTTTTTTTATTCCTTTACGTGGATTTTGACGTTCCTCCTTTTGATAGTTGGTGATTAATGGTGGAGTCGATGTATGGAGATTATTGCTGAGGTGGATGTTTTGAGAGATGGAGATTTGAGGGCCACGTAGAGGGAACGTAACGTTGAATGACCGTTGAATTTTTTTTTCAGAGAAATTTTGCTCGAAGATCAATTTTATATATGGACAGTGTAGCGGACGAAAGTCTTTTTCTTTTTTTAAATTTGACAAGTTGAACGAATCGAATTTTTTTTCTTGAAAGAAGGATTAGTTTATTATTGAGCGACGTATACGAAGAAAATTTTGAAGAAGAAGTTGCAATTGATCGAAAATAAATTTGTAATGGAAATTAAAAAAAAATTTCTCAAAAAAATTTATCCAATGATGATCCAATTTAAGAAAAAAGTCACTCTATTTTAATCGACAGACTTATACTTTTATACTATACTATATTATTATCACATTTCGATAATTCATTGTTATTTAACAAGTCTCGCCAACAAATCTCATATTATATTCGAATCCAAGACGCAACGAGACAGAGATGCAATCGAAACTGGAGCCAATTCGAAATCGATCATAGGGAGGGAAGGAAAGAAGTTTGATCGAGAGAAGACGCGAATTCGGCGGAACAAGGTTCGAACGTGGCGCTAGTTTGTTAGGTGGATTAGCGGATTACCGCGTCTGGTGGCGATAAGTCAGCGTCTGGCGGGGGTCTGTCGCGACGACAGGTCTCCCCCTATAATTAGATTCGCCTACCAAGGTTGCTTGGAGAATTTTAAGAAACCTATTATCGTTATTCGCCATCGATCGTGTTCCTCGAACCTCCTCGAGGATCCTTTTTTGTTTATTCGCCGCTTCTCGGTGCTCTCGCGAAGCAGAAAGACAAAAAGAGAGAGGAAAAATAGGAAGGTTAGAATTTTCGAGACCCGAGAACGCGAGGCGGGATAAAAAAAACGAGTCTGTCGTTTCTGAGTCGTTAATTTTGCACGCGTCGCGGTTTCAGTTCCGCGTTGCGGCGAGGCTTGGCAACTTTTTCGCCCGCATAACCCTCTCTCTCCCTTGGCTCCCCGGCGATCGTTGTCCGACCAACTCGAGTATAATTTCCCTTGTTTCGTCCCTCTTTAATGCGGAGTGACGAATGTTATAATGAACTTTGCACCACGTGCAGAGATAAATATTAGTACGAGCACGGTGATTAAGTGGCGTTGAAAAAAAGAAATGGGATCACGTAGAGATATTTAACAAGGGTGTTGATTTAATTTCGAATTTTCTTCTTAATGAATTTTTACATTCGTACGATGGTCATGATTATTAATTCTTTTTTTACTTTCAGATATCGAAAAACGTACAATTGCGTTAATTCTCTTAATTTCTTCAGGAATATTGACGTATACGTTTCTTTTTTTTTTAAATTAAAAATTATTCTCGGTAAGAGGAAAAATTAGAACCTGTCGAAGGATTCTTCGCCACAATATTTTATTCGACAATTATTGCTTTGAAAGTAACTATTGCCTTTCATGTTTCATATTCGGACAGCGAATTCGAAATTTTTCGAATTGAGGCAATATCTGTCGTAGAAATTCTAAATTAATGATTTGTTTCTAACGTTCTATTTTCGTTCCCACGCGAAACGTGGATCAAAGTGATGATAATCGGAAATGTTAACATTAGCATAGAAAATAACTCGTGTCTTGCTATCGGCGATAGTTTCGAGAACTCGATTTACAGACACGGCCTATATATAGTTTAATGCTCGCACGGTTGATTTGATGAAACGTTGAATTTGTACAACACCTGTTAAACTCGGTGTTCTATCAATCGAATAAATCAACCGGTTCACAGAGGAATCGAAACGGAGAAAGAGAGAGAGAGAAACGCGAAAAGAGGGACACGTCGTAAATTGACTTATCCCGATGTCGAATGCAATATCGTTTGAAATCGACAAAAAAAAAAAANNAAAAAACAAGAATTTTTACATAAATATATAATAAATCAATCTCTATTTTGTTGACGTACGTGTCTGCATTAAAAATGCATAGAAGCAACAAGGGCAATGCGTCTTTTAGCATTTAAAACGGACAGAAGCGGCGTTCGATAAATTGCATCTGGGAACATTTTACATGTAAATAGAGAAAGAAAGAGAAGAGGCGAGCGAGCGAGAGAAAGAGCGGGGATCATAAAACAACGAAATTAGGATCGGCTCCACGATCAAAGCTCATTTCAAACGACACGCGATAGAACTACGACTATTAAAATTATCTATTTGCATTTTCCACTTATTTGTAGCCGAATCATCTACATTGGCAATATTTTCTGAAAGAAAGAAAAGAAAGGGGGGAGGGGGAAAGAAGAAGCAAATTGCATATATTTAAAATTTAAAGCATCGACCCGTTTAAGATGCAAACACGTTTTTTCTAACGAAGAACCCAATTAATTCGAGCCTTTTATACCACGAACGTGTTCACGAAATCGAACACGAGGGGGAGCTGTACGGGATTAGAAAAATCCGTGTCTCGCGATCGTTACGCCGCTGAACGTTTATAAATCACACACGTGAACCGGGTCAAAGTCGATTTTAACAATTAGATTTTTTTTTAATATAGAAAAGAAAACGACGAAATTCAATTATATAGATTTAAATATTTTATACATATACATATTTAACTCCTATGAATGAACTCCTTTCATGAAAACAGGCTTAATGTTTCATGAAAGAGAGAAAAAAAGAAAAACAACCGACAAACATTAGGCGTTAATAGGCATCATATCTTTGGTAATCGATCATTCGTCTAAATTAATTACTTCAACTTCAGAAAGCACGAGTGAATTAAGTTTATCATTCGATTTTCAAAGATACATATTTTTTCTTAAAAACGTATCTCACTTCATGACATACCACGTTTCTACACGATTCAATAATTATATATTTGACAAACGCATCGCATTCATCAAATCAAACATCATGAGAGGCTATGTAATTAATAAAATTAATAAACCTCGACCTAATCATCATCGAGCTGTTATTACCATTCGTTCCAACGAGCGTTTGTTATTGTAACTCGACTCCGTTTCAGAAAAGTTCAATTTCCGTGTCGAGCAGCAACAACAACACTGGTTGGAAAATTAGGTCTCGTTCAAGCAGTTGGACGCGATCGAAACTTCCGGAGATAATACATAATTGAATTAGATACGCGTGGAAAATTAGAATTCCATTGAGATGAGCGCGAAAGAAGGAAATTTCGTAGGGGATCGACGATGCTCACCTGGTAACGTTGATCTGATCAGCGATCTCGACCGTTCCCAAGTTTCGATATCCGGCGAATAGCATGCCGTTGTCCATTAAACCGGAGCCACGGCCGTCGATCGTCGCGTAGATGATGCTTTTATTCGTTACAAGGTACGTGCCCCAATCGACGTCGAACTTCTCCGTGACTTGGTACGAGTCTGGGCCACCGTATCTGTGGAAAACGAAAACGTTATTATAATCGGTGTCTGACTCGTCGTCCAATTTCTACGATGGAACTCTATTTATAACTATCGTTTAAGGATTCATTGTGATCTTTCGTTCGAAGATACGACGATAAATACGATGCTCGATAGAAGTTCGGTTAATTCTTTAAATCGTGTGAACGGAATTCCACTGTGCTCGTGGTGTTGATTAATTACGAAGGAAGGAGATTGCTTCATCGTCGAATCGAAATTGAATGTTATTTAATTCAATTTAATTTCGATCATTTATCGATGCTACGATCATTTTGTTTAAACTTTTTGTTCGATCAAACTGTTCTTTTAAACGTCACCCATCAAATATAACGAAATTGAAAGTTTGAATTCGTTGTGTGGTGATATAATTTACTTCAAATTATTAGAGAAATAGTGGTAATTTTGAATTTGATGTAAAGATTATATTATACAGGAGAATGTTCTGAGGTAACAAGGAGTATCATAAATGCCAATAATTTGATCAATTGCTGATTAAATAAAATCGTCGTTATCTGTGCAAAAAGTCGGTGTAGATCATTATCACATACATCCACTACCACAAATTCACTTCGGTATATTCAGCATTGCATGCTGGAGGATAATGAGATTCGATGATGATTCACTTGTGACGAATTTCATTTACCTTTTGATTAAATTCACGATTACACGTTACAATATTACCAAGTTATATTATCTCGTCGAAACAAACGGATGGAATTTATAATTCCCAATTTTCCCTTTTTATCGCCTATGTATCGGTTTTGAACCAACTCCCAAACGACGAGATACTCGTCGTATAACAGCAATTTGGATAATCGAAATTTCTAAATTTTCCGTTTCACCCGAAAGCGTGTACACACGCGTGAATGAACAATTACCAAACAATCCCGCTGGAGGAGGGAGGCCAAGAAAGGCTAATTCAATTTTCCGGTTTAACTTAATTATTCAATCGAATCGCGCGTTTCTATTTATACACGCAGTCTAATTCGTTTCGAACGAGTTCTGTCGTACAATCCAATTCTCGAAACTCGAATTAATACGCCTGCCGACGTAGAGAATCGAGCGAACTCGATCAAATTTATCTATTTAATTATTCCTTGCTTTATTCACTTTTTTCCTCGAGTAAAAAAAGTTCGCCGTAAAAAGAAAAAAAAAAGAGAGGGTGAATTTCAAACGATATTTTTTACGAACGAAACTCACGCAAAGGAACAAACGCAGCGGTCTTGGATTTTCATTCGACTAGCTCGCTAATTAATCCGATACCGGATTCATAAAAATTCAGGAGACGCGTTTACACGGCATCGAATGAATTTCTCCACGATATCATCCTCCCCCACGTTTCGCCTTTGCCATCCTCTATCGACAGGGCGGAGGTAAAAAATTTTTGATAAATGACACGCTGCCAGTGACGCCACGCCGTATTCTCTCATCCTTCCTTCCTTTTCTCCATTCGAATAATTCCCGATCCCGCTTCGAAGACATTAAAGCGGTATTCATGGTCGCGGTATTCTCCGCCATTTGCATTTCGAGAGAAAGAAAAGAAAAAAAGGAAAAAGAAGCAACCAAAGGAGTGGAGCATCCCTGGGAAATCAAGCCCTGATTTTTAAACGTTTTCTCCGTTTCTCTCGCCGCAAGAGGACGAGGAATGAAGGAACGGAACGATAATGATAAAGCTTTTTCGATTTTCTTTCTTTTCTTTTCTTTTCTTTTTTTTTTTTTACGACCGGTTAATACGCGTGTGTTCTATTGTATTGTACAAGGGTGGAGAAGGGTCGTTACTCACACGAAGATCAGCATGGGATATTTGGTGGCGCCCGACAAATCAGCGTTGGCGGGATCAGAAGTCTGACTCGAGCTTCGAATCCTCCGGGAACCGGCACCTTGAAACGGCGCACTACCGGTTGCGATTTCTCCGCGATAATCTCGGCCACCGCTTCGTTCGCCTCCCACGTCAGCGCCCTCGTAGAATTCTGAAAAGGGGAATCGCATGGAGATGTTGCGTGTGGTAATAAACGAACGAAGGGAAGCGAATTTTTCGAGAGGAATTAAATTATATTAGATTTGAATTAACTTTTATTATCTGTCTTACTTTTATGTAAATTAACGCGTAAGAATAACGTCGTTTTTAAGTTAAATACATGAAATTTTTGGAAATGTATATTTAACATTCGTTCGGATATTGGATTAGTTTTACGGCCAGCCTCGTGATATTTGTATTCGTGCGATATTTACCGAAACGTGCGGGGAAACTTGTTTTCGGGGGAAAACAGTGGCGTCTAACTTCGAATCGATACCGAAAAAGCGTCTCGCCTTTCTCTCGAAGGACCTCTTCGAACTTGGACCCTTAATTTACCTTTATTTTACTACACGGCACGGCGCCAACTCTCGGCAATTCTCCTCCACTATTCCTATTCCACCGACTTCTCGCCCAACTATCGATTCTTGGATACACATATTGCTTCGATTTGTTATCCACTGTTTTAGGATAGGATCGACTAAATAGTTCGCCTCCCTACTTTTCCTACTCTCCTTTTCGAAAAAACGAGAAGGCGGAAAATGATATTTGACTCTTGGAAACTGATGAAATAAATGGAGGCACTTTTTTCAAGAATCGTATTAATAGTTGGAGGGAAATAATAGACGCTCTATTCGTACGAAAGGGAAAAACGTAAAGCGAGCAATAGGATATAATAAAACATTCGTTATTTCTCTTATCTCCGTTTCCAAGTTCCGCTATTACGCTTCTCTTCCAATGACCAAACTTTGCCTGGTAATCTCGGAGTTTTAAACGAATCACTGGCCAGCTAGGAGAGAAGGAGAGATGTAAAATGGACATCCAGGTCGCAAACCTCATTAACCACGGACAAGGTTGCACCGCTTTTAGTTTATAATTAAACGATATATACGGGGCAATGTTGGCCAAGGAGAATATCAGATTAGATAGCATTTGTTATAATTTACTATCGTCGAATAATGAGTAACGTTGTCGTTATTGTCATTATACGAAATTAAATAAATATCGTCAAGTTGCCATCGAAGAACGAAATTGCAAGTTTTATTAAGAATTCGACGCTTTTCCAAAACTTTTCGAAAGTTTTCCAATCTTATTTTTCACCTTATATAACACCTTCATACAACATTCTTCTCGAGATATTTTTTCCTCTCGTTATTGCCTCGCCATCGAACGACGAGAACAAAACACTTCCTATTCACCGGGTTCCTCTTCCTCTTCTCCTCCTCGAGAGGAATGAAATTAGTCCCTTATATAGGAGAATCGAAAGCGTTTGTCCACAAAGAAAGCCAATTATCGACGGTAGGTAATCGTGCCGCCCCGACAAATCGAATACTCGAATCCACTTCCCCTTTTTCCACCCACCTCTTCTTCCTCTTCTTCTCTCCATCTCTTCCCATCTCTGCTCATTTTTGTCAATTAAGACAAAAGTCGAGGTAGGCGATAATCCGATTCACGGATTTAATTACGGATAATCGATCGATTCTTCGAAGACATTCGTCCCCTTTCGTACACAACCTGCTCGAGTCTACGCTTGGATTTACGAGGATTACGAGCGTTGAAAGTTGGAAGGAACGAGGGTGTTTATCGAAACTGCGACGCCTTCCAGCAATTCGAGAGAATGGAAGTTTTCGTTTGACCTATTAGGGGCGGGAGGGGAAGTATCGAAAGTTGATACGCAAGTGTTTTGGAAACGAGCTTCTTCGGAATCGAAGCAAAGGGGAACGTTCTCGAGTTCTGAACGCGGATGGAAGTTTCATCGATGAGGCGAGAGGGTTGTCGGGCGGAATTGAAAGTGGAAATTCAAGATGTAATTCTTGTGAACTTCTGTCTATTCGATACTTTGAGATGTGTAATGGAATATGGATATCTTTTATGGGAAAAGGAAATTTATACCACCTTGTTTGTTGTACCCCTATATTATAATTGAATATATATTTCATACGGGAAAGGAAATTTCTTTCTTCTGTGAATAATCCCTTGTGAAACGATTGAATAAATCAATAAAGCTAGTTTCTCGTGTATTGTTTGATTGGGTTTGGAAAATTTTTACACGATCGAGAAGAAATGTCTTATACACAATGTCGCTCGTATACGTGTACAAAAGAAATAAAAAAAAAAAAAAAAAGGAAGGATCTATCTATCGATTTGGCATAATGTTGCGCCGCCATTACGTATGCACGTAATCGTTGTCAGACATCGAGACTCGTGTACGCAGAGCAAAATGGTTGGCTCGTGTTTGCCTGTTTGTTAAACGGCGGGAAAATTTATTTAATTCGAGTATCTGCCGATAACGGTATCATGTTTCCTCTCGAATTGGGGGGAAGGGTCGGGACGATTTGTTAAACGATCATAAAGCATATAATCTGATTGTTTAACACTCGATTCGTTTATGATACAATAATGTATATATACATGCGTGGAACGATACAGGCGAGCAATAATTTCATTTTATCCCATTCTCGATGCTCGTCCGATTAAGAATTTTTACACGAGCGGATTAAAATTTCGATTACTTTCGTTCTGGAAAATTTTTCACAAACGTGACGCGGACATAGTAAAAGTGAAGGGAAACAGAGCGGAAGAAAGAGAAATAAAAAGTTTATGGGAGAAGTGGAAGCAAAAAGAGGAGCTCGAACAACGAGGGGATTAAGAAATTAAATTAAAATTCGATTGGAAAGTTGAATTAGAGGAATGAGGGAGCGGGGGGGAATGAAACAATACCGTGGATCGCGATAACTTCAATTTTCGTTTGAATATTTCCAAATAAACTTTCCACACTTTTAAATATGGGCCGAGAAAATGAAACTTGCCCCCCGAAGAAGAAGAAGAAGAAGAAGAAGAAGAAGAAGAAGAAAAAGTCCCGAGGGGTTGAGATAAGGACTGCCGACCGTGGGTTATGGAAATTAAGAAATTAAATTAAAATTAGATTGGCGAGTTTCATTTAGAAACAAACTTCCCTTCCAACGTGGTAACTAATCCGGTGAAAGGAAACAGATCGTCGAGGAAGCTTAAGTGTGAGTAAATTAAAAAATAAGATCGATCGAGATTAAACACCATCCTTTATCTTTCCTTCTTTCGTATTAATCAAGAAGGGAGAAGAAGAATTACAATATTCGTTATTCTTTTATTTCGAAAATAATATATCGGACAGATTAGAAAATTGCTTAAACTTTCCTGCGAATTCCTCGAATCAAAGATAAGCTCGATTTTCGCGTGTCGCGTTGAACACACGCGCGGCTCATCCCAAATTGCAGGCATCGTATCGAAAGAATACGATATTCGGGAAAATAGGGAGCCCGTATTCGCAGAGAATATTCAGAGAATAATATCCCGGGGAGAGGAACGAGAAGGAAAAGGAACGAGGTGATCAGGAAATGAGATGAAAAGAAATGCCCGACATTTGCCACCGAACCTCGCTGCCTTTGCTTCCGATATTTCCAAATAAACTCGGTGATAGCGGGAACGGGTCCAAGAAAGGAAGCAGATCGTTCGAGTAAACTTGCTCACCTAGAAATTCTCAAAGGGATAAAGAAAGGGGGTTGGAAAGCCTTAGGGGGAGAGGATGGAATTTCGGGTTATCGAGGATAGTCAAGTCGCCGGATTTGTTCGCGCTTCTAAATCGGCCGCGTATATTCGCGTCCCGTTCTCTTCACCGGCAATAAAACATGGATCGAGGACCATGGTGAGAACGCCACCACTTGCGGGACGCTGATAAATTATGCGGAGGATCGACGATTTGGATCTATCTGAATCCGTATAAATGATAGATATTTGGATTGAACGTTCTTTTGTTCTTTTTTTTTTATATTCAGATTTTGATTGTTGCGACAGGATAAAGCGAAGAATTGTGTAAATATACAATTACGGTTACCAGAGATTTATTGCTTTTCTTATTTTCAAGCGAAGTATATTTAGTTAATTTCGTTAAGATCGGAGGAGATGTGTTACAAGACAATATTTTTATGCATTTTTTGGCTAAGTAAAAGAGTATATCCTATATATAGTGATGTTTCCTGAAACATTGTATCTTTTATCAATGAAGATTAATTTTTGAAAATTTATCGTACTGTTACCAGTACGTTACCAGTACTGGATGTTAATTAATAAAATATTTCGAACGGACCACTTAATTATAATTTAATACGAAGAAAATTTGCAATTTTAACGATTGTTGATTAATATGAAAATATGATTAAATTTAAAAGAAAAGCAGCCATAATAATTGATTAGTTTCGAATATTCAATTTCTGTCACACTATTGATCGTCATTTTTTTTGTTTGAGAAGAAGAAAATTGAAACGAATTTTTTGAAAATTGAATGAATTTATTCAATGAGACTTGCCAGAAATGGAAATGTATATTTTATAAACGTAACGTAGTTGGAAAAATTATATCGGATTTCTGGGATTAAAATTCGCCAAATCCAAACAGATATTCGCGGCAGTCAAAATGGATTTGATACTTTTCAGAGATAGAGTATAACCAACGGTGAAATACGTCCAACCTGCCAATTTCATCGAGGCGTGAAGTAAGAATGAAATAGCAGGTGAAGTTTGAAAGAATATTATTCTTTTCGTTCAATTATTGGCATTTTACCATCGAAAGAATTTTAAAACGATTCTAAAACTATATAATTTTATAGTTTCGTATTAAAGGAAACGAGAACATTACGAATTATATTTTTAAACGATTTTCATTACAATAGAATTCTATTTGTGCGAAATATATCAGCCAGTATTATAAAATATTCATGGAATTGAATAAATTTTCAAGGGACATCGACAATTATCGATAAAATGGAGGCTGGTTAAAATTAACGTAGATTTTAATTTTTAATCTCGAATCAATCGTTAATCACGATTCTGAATAAATCGCGAATTTTTTAATTTTCCAATTTATCTCCAAAAAACTGCTATACAAAAAACTTTACTCAAATTTCACCAACATCTAAACCAACATTTTCGTCAGAAATGACGAACATAATATAATAATTTATCAAAAATTGAACGAAATAATTTCTCTTAAGAGAGATTGCCCGAGAGGAAAAAGAAAAAAAAAAAGAAAAAGAAAAGAAACAAAAGAATCGGCGAAGAAAGGGAAGATCGTTCTGAAGATCCAGCGATGGAACAGCCACTTACCTCGTTGTAAATGGAGATGTCAGGCACCCCGGGCCCGGCACAAGTGAGCACGTAGTTGGAGTGATCGGTGGAAAACTTGGCGGTGTTGTAAAGACATCTATTCCTGTCCGTTTCCCGAACGATAGCGCAGGTCAAACACTTGGACCCCCTTGGATCGCTCGTGCCCTTCGTCGATATCCTGTACAAATGCTGGACCGCGGATTCCTCCTCCGTTGTGGCCAGGTAATACCTGCGAGAGAAAGCAGAGAGATGAGGAAAGAAAAAGAACAGAGGAAGAACAAAAGGAAAGACGAGGCAGAGATATAACTGGAGCCGTATGAACGCCCGTTCATTTGCATAGGCTGCTCTTTAATGGCTTTGTAATCGCAAGAACTGTTGTGAATTTGCATTGCAACGAGACCGGCTTTGTTTACTTTATACGAACGGAGGGAAGGGGATCGGGGAGGAAAGAAACCACGTTCAGATCTGGCTTTCGTGGCTTTTGCGGTTCCTCTTTAGATTCTTTCGAGAAGGGATTAAGCGGCTTCCCTCCTACAAATACCGCGAGAGAGATGTTTCGAGTTTGTTGGTTAGTTGTGGAAAAGTCGATCGATCAAGTTTCGAGATGGATGGTCGAAGAGGGAAGCTTGATAGAATTGATTTTATACGAGATGTAAATGATTACCCGATACTAACGAGAATTTACCGAATTCATCTCTTTGAACGAGCAAACTTTCGAAAGGGTGTTTCCCCTCGACGAGATGATGAGAAGGAACCGTTAACTTCGCTCAAAGTTTATTAACGGGCAAAAAAGAATATGAGAGACGGGCGAAGAAAAATCGATCTACTCCCGATTGGATTCGTTTTGCTGAATTTCATGAAAATGAAACGAACGATTTCGACCATGGATTCGTTATGGATAAATTGCAGGAATGTTTTCAGGGTGAGGGTCAAGCTCGGCGGGGCTCGGCGCTGGATCAGACGTTGCGATTCGAAACTGTTAACGCTGATTTATACGTTTCGCAAGCGTTGCAGGTATAGCAGAGGATGTAACGCGATCAGACCACTGACTCCATTTGCATTAATGTGGATCGATTGGCCGCTTGTTAATCAATCCATGATTAACCTGAATTACTCGGTTCTTTCCGGCTTAAATTCGTATTGGTCTCGCCATCTCGTTTCAATTGATGAAACCAATTTGCCATCGGTGCAACTTGTTAACGAGATCGAAACCGTTTTCACCACGATGAAAAAGGAAGGCAATTTTTTTTCCTTTTTTTTTTTTAACTTGCTTAATTAACCTGCCAGCTACGAATATTACGAATATCGCTTCCCTCCCCTCCCGCCCCGTCGTTCAATTAAAAAATATTTAAAAAAATTTAGGAAAGAAAAAAAAGGAGAAAGAAGAAAAAAATATTCTCGATTTGATTTCAACTAGATAAAATTTTATTCAAGAGAAATTGATACATTGACCGAGTCGCCAAACGCAATTTTATTTCGAGGAAAAATTTCATCCGGATACAACCTCCCCTCTCCGATCTAAACTCCGAGTTTAAATTAATTCCGATAGGAGGAGGACGGTTTTCAACTTCCTTTCTCAAGTTCCCTTATATCCAAAGGGGTATAAATTTCATGACGTTACTCAATTTCCCTCCATCTTGATCCAAATTCCCAGAATTTCATTCTACACGGATCAAAGCGTGTCTTCGCCCAAGGTGGAATTTGTCATTTTCGTTTCAATTTGTTCCTTATCTCACGGGAAGTCGTCGCTGGAAAGATGTCTGGCGACGTATCCGGCGCGTGCCTTTCGCAATCTAATTTGTGCCGGAACGACGTACGAGTAATTTCCGTATCGGCCGGATATACGACGTATGTATTTCCCTTGGATATCAAACAGAAGAGAGAGAGAGAGAGAGAGAGAGAATCACAGTTTTGCCATTGGCTAATCCTCGTTTAATCTAAATCTGCCGACTTACTCCTCGCGCGGCTTACGCTGCAATTTCTATGCGCATGGATCAGAGATGTAACACACCGTTCGTGTTGGACAAACCCGTTGGGTTTCCCTCAACCGTTGACGATGAATACGAATAAGCGTATCGAGGCGTGTAAAGACGCCTCGAGTTTTAATTCGAATAAAGAGGCGACCACGATGGAAGAAAGAGATCTCGTAGAGGTGAATTTAAGATGAGAGGATCGAAAGCGCGTTTAAAATAAGTTATACATCAGATCCAAGAGACTTTGATCGTTTCATTGGCTCGTTCGGTCACGTGATTCTGCGGAGGCGAGATAGACGGCGCTGTACTCGTCTGATCCGTACGATAGTGTGACAAAACTGCGTGTGGAACGTGGATTAGCTGCGTGTATTCTTATGTATCAAATATTGATAAGTGGCGAAAGAAAGAAAGAGGAAAAAAAAACGACTGTGGCGTCGAGTATCGAAAATCGATTATCCACGCTTACCTGGCTCGTACCTTCGAACTCGATGCGCATTGGAATAGATTCAATTTGTACCCTCGACCTTCTCAAGAAAGGTTCAGACGAATTTTTCTTCTATGAATCTATTCGATAGTTTAATCCTTTGTAAAAATTCGAAGAAAATTCGAATAAATGATCCGGGATACAGAAAATTAATTCTTCTTTTTTGTCATAACGTAACGTATATGGAAAAGCGGATTAATTAGAGAAAACGAAAGATTAATTTGGATATTTTGCAACTTCGATGAAACATTTCCTAATAAAGCGAACAACTTGTAAATATCATTAGTCGATTTGGTCGCGCGATTTATCGCGATTCGGAACAATTTCCATTAACGGTTATAATACAACATTACGACACCGAAAACTAATTTCCCTAACGTGATAAACGAATGCTCGATAACAATTTCGTTGTGTATCGTGTGCGCATATTGTAATTTCACATTCTGTTCGATTCGAATTCACGGCAGAGGTTCGATAACCGTAAAAAAAAAAAAAAATACACATCTCCGAAAAAATGCATAAACCATCGCGTTAAACGATACAGTTAGCAGGGATTTTTTTCGATACGATAAATTAATTCCCCTTTCCAAATAAATCTCGATTATCAGGGGCGAATATCAATGGCAATCTTGCGACACGCTCGGATATCAAGTGCCCTTACGTCAGACGTCGAGACTCAGAACCTGTTAGGGTCTGATTTATAACGTTCCGCTACTACTGCGTCCAACGTACAACGAGATCAAATTACTGGCTTCATTTGCATTAATTTGGATCGATCGTCATCGGCTAACGAATACCCCGATCCGGAATTACCTTGCCTCTTTTTCGAAACCATCAACAATGCGATGGTTGAAACGCGTGAAATATTAATTTTATCGCGTTATTGCTTTTTATTCCATCGAAAATTTCATCGGGACCACCCGCCCCGTGTTTTTGCTGGTGATAAAATGTTTACTACCCTTCGAAATGTTTATTAATTTTGAATGGGGACGTCTAAATTAATAAAACGGAATAACGAATGAAAATATTTGATACGTTGTAACGCATTGAGGTTCAACGTTGCGTTAAACGCTTTTTATTTGTAATTTCCTTTCGTTAGACGTAGTAGCAACTACAACTCGTTATATCTTTTCAATTGTTCGTGATTATTCGTGGGAAGGAAAAGAATTTCATAATTGATTATTCTTTTTACCCTCCTTTAACTAGAATTAATAACATTTTAAAAATTTGAATTACCTATGATGTTATAAATTTCGTTGTATCGTGGAAATATTTTTTGCGTCCCTCCCCCCGTTTGTTTCCCATATGGTATTTATTACGCTATTATAATATGCAAAATATTTACGCAGAATATTTCGATAAAAATCCACTAGAGATATTATAAAGTTTACATATAATATTTTATTACTGCTCGAAAAATTGATTATTTAGATATTTTGTTGTTGTACGATAAATACGTGCAAAAAATGTTATTACGCCACTTGGATGGATCAATCATTTCTAATTCGACGCAATGTTTACGCAAAAAAAAATTTTTTCCATCGTCCCTTCGATCCCAAAAAAATGCATTGCACCTTGGACATTGATCATTAATTATTTATCGACGATGGGTGCGAATTGTTAATCGCTCGAGACGACGGTCAATTACCGGATAACAGCTGTCGAATTAACAAGTTGACAATTGGACAAGTTTGGAAATATTTAACGCGGAACAACGAATCATTGCTTGTCAAAATATCAACCAAAACAGGCTATTTATAAATATCAAATTATCTTTAAATTGTCGATTTATATATATATATATTTATGAAATAATAAAGAAAAAAACGAAGAACTATTTGCTTCGAACGAAAACAATTGTTACATCGAGTATATGAAAAACAATATTCCAAAAAATGAGGAAGATTTCCGTACGTACAATTTTTTGCACTAAGCTTGTATTACTTTTTTTCGAGAAAACCAAATTTAAAAATACGTAAAATACACTTGAAATTTTCGAAAACTATAGAATAAAAGTTTTTATTTAGAAAATTTCGTTAAAGAATTTTTAATCAAGAATTAAAAAATCGCGTATTCAATTTTCTTATTTTCCAAAAAAAAAAAAAAAGAAAAATAAGCTCTAAAAACGAGCAAACACTCTTTTCTCTTTACATTTACTACATTTACCTGTCCATCATCAATTCGTATCCAATCAGAAATTAGTCGATTTCGCGTAAATTTTCTATCTTACATTTCCAATTTACCTTTGTGCATTCATCATTCTCGCTCGACAATAATTCTCCATAATAATTTCCCTCGAGTTTCAAAAATTATCGTTAAACGGGACACGATAATTAACAGAAATAATTAATAATTCACTCACGTTGAAGAATCAATAACGAGGCGAGGCAAAGAGAGTAAGTAACCTCGCAACCGATCCACGAGTTAAGGCTTGGTTCGTCAACTCTAACAGGTGAGGCGGAAGAGTAATTCAATATCTTACGAGGGGGGGGAGTAATAGGTTTAGAGTTTGACAGTCGTAGCCCCAAGATGAACGTAAACTCTCCATCATCGGGTAAAATCAACGGAGGTGTAACCGGTGAACGTGGAACGGCCGGGCGAAAGGGGATGTGAAGGGGGGGCAGACAGGTTGTGCAGCTCCCTGGCCAAGATGGATGAGCCTCGGGTCATTCAGAACGGATTAATTTCAATATCCTGTTAATTTGACCCGTCGCGCCGACCTTAAACGCACTCAACCTTACCGTGATCTCCTCTCGTCCCTTCGTGGTAAAT